AATATGTGCAGAGAATAAGTGTTCTGTTCATGTTCTAATTTCATTTTTATACAGTCAACATAAAAGGTTTTTTGTAAAAATATTGCTGTAATGTGCATGCATATGTTAATTTTATAAATGGTAAAGACACAAACTTTTGTTAATTTTGTAGTTTTTACCTGGAAGATGTAAAACTTCCTAGAAATTTTTCTTAATTTTTAAAAATAGGTTTTGAACAAAACTACTTAAAAAGGCCCCTTTATTTAAGACCAAAATGCTGCTCAATAATTAAATATTTTAGAAAACATGTAGCTTTAGTTGTTTTACCTTTCTTTTGCTCCTGAAAGAGTCCTGATTTGGATGAGAAGTTACACGGGCCATTCCCAGGGCTTTTTTAAGTGCAGTAGCTTTATGTCCAGAGCTTGACTGCTCCCAAATCCTTACCTGCTCCTTTGTGAAGGAGCCTCATCTGCTTCATAATTGAGCACAAAGGAACCAGGCACTCTAACAGCACGTGAAGGCCGGAGCTGCAGAAAGAAGGCACTACCCTCTTGGAGCTGCAGGGGGCAGTCTGGTTCAGTCCATCAGGACACCCAGAGCCAGCTGGAAAGGGCAGTTTTGGGTCCCTCTGGCAGGAGGGGTCAGCCAGGCAGCCCTCCCTCAAAGACGCCAGCTCAGGGAAGGCTCCACGCCCCAGGAAAAGTCCCCAAGGCCCTATTCATCTGAGTGGCTGGGGTGGAAATGAGGCGTCCCCAGCCCTCAGGAGGCTCCCAGTCTGGTGGGGACACTTGGCACCCAATGACCACATCAGGTAGTCTGACCCCAGGGAGGGGTCTGTCTCAGACTTGCTGGACCTCAGCATCTGAGGGGACCCCGTAGAGGAAAAGGAGAGAGGGGGTCGCCCAGTGAGGGGAGGCATGTGAGTGAGGGCTGGGGGAGGGTGCGGGGGCGGGGGCAAAGAACCCTCTCCTGCGTCTGCTTCTCCACCTCCACCTGCTCCCATCCTCCTCCTGTTCCCTGGCTACCACTGCCCAGTCTCCTGCCCAGCTTCCCTTCTGGTCCCTAAGTGTAGAGGCCTCCTTCAGCTGAGCACCCCGACCTCCCCTCTGCCCCTTCCACATACCCCTGGAGTTAACTCCAGCCCTCCCCTCCTTCCAGCCAAGCTCCAGATCCCTCTCCTGTTGTCAGTCTCCACGGGAATGGGCCACAGCCTTCTGGAATCCAACTTGTCCTCACACTGCAAGGACAACAGGACATTTCTCGTGGGATTTTAGTCAGGGCTGGTGAGGTACTTCATCCAGAACCTCAGCTAAACTGTCACACCTCATAGGAGCTCAAGAATTGGTAGCTTATATTTTTGTTTCCTAATCCAAGCTGAAATCATCTTTATCCCCCGACGAGGGCCCCCAGTCTCCCCAGCTCAGCTCATGAACAACATCTCTCCCGCTCCACCTCCCAAGATGGAAACCCCAGTATCTTTGACACCCGCTCATTGCCACATCCAGCCGGTGACACACATGGATTCCAACTTCGAAGCCCTCTCAGCCCGCCCCCCTTCCATCCCCGCTGTCCTGGCCTGTCCAGCCCTCCTCAACCTGCTGCCTAGACCAGCACATCTCAAACTGTAATGTGCATGGCAGCCACTAGGGGTCTTCTGAAGAGGTGAGAGGTCTGGGTGGGGCCTAAGACTCTGCATTCCTAGCGAGCTCCCAGGCGATGCCCAGGCTCCCGGGCCACCCTGGGGCCTCAGAGGCTTACACCCGATCTCAGGTGGCTCACGACGGCTTCCAGAACTCACCCTCACAACTGCCCTTTGAAGGGCGGTTCACTGCTCACAGTCAAGGTTTTTAACTTCAGTCTACGTAAATCCATCACTCCCCATGTATTTAGAATTCGAACATTTGGAGTTGGGCCCAGGAATTGGCATCTTTGTTTAATACCCCCAGTGGTTCTAATAATGTAGGCTGCTGATGGATAATGCGCCTTTAACACCAAATCAGGCTCTTTAACTTGGCATTAGAGGGCCTTCTCAACTCAGCCCCATCTCTCGACCTTCGCTGTCTCTGCCTTCTTCACGATCCAGTGGCCCAGCAGACCAGACTGTCCACTATGTGGACGATGGGTCATGCCTTCGCCTCCCTTAAGCCTCTGTCCCTCCCCTCCGTGTTCTGGAGGGACCTCTCGGCACTTGGGGAAGCCTTGGTGACCTCCCCGGTGAGTTACTGCCCCCTCACCGCCCTTCCTTGGCGCTGTGGGCACACATCTGCAGAGCATGGGAGTGGGGTCTCGGGGGCGCCATTTCCCACCCTCCCTTCCTGCTCAGTGGAGCTGCTTTAGCGCAGAGAAGGGGCTGCTTTCATCTTTGCATCTCCAGGACCTAGCGGGCTGCCTGTCCCAGAGTCACTTCCCAAAGAATAGCATTAAAAAGGCATCAAATGGAGTGAAAAAGAAAGTCAATTGTAATCAGAGGTAAAGCCAGCCGACTTTTGATGAGTGTGATAAAGTCTGCTTTGTAGGAAACAAGCCGTTCTGATCATCTCAGTTCTAGACTCAGTCTGCTTTCTGCCCCCGCGCTGCTTAACCCTTGAACACACACGTACTGATTAAATACAAATCGTTCAAATTCAGTATGGATTTAGTTGCTGTTTGAAGCATTATGTTTGCATTGATTCGTGTCTGTGCTTATCAGGTGGCTCGTGCAGACCCTTTGGGGGCGAATGGCCAGGGACTGCTGAGTGGTCAATGGCCTGGTGGCGTCAGTGCTGTGATACAGACGGAAGGGACTCTATCTAGACGGTGGATGGCTTTGAATTCGGCAAAGCTTAGTGCCCTCTGCTGGTCATACCGGGCAAACCACCTGCCGCTCTAGGAGGCACGTAACCGGCCTCGTGGCGTCTGATTCCTGATGGGATGCCCTCGTCCGGCCTCATCTTCGATCCTTGAACATCTGGAAAGGAGGGTTTTTAAATTAATGCATTGGAGAGAGAAATGCATTTGTTTAATGCCCCTAAGAATTCTACCTCTCTGGGTCGTATTGAACCAGTTAATATTTCCCAATCAATGACTCTGCAGTTTACTCAGATGCATTAAAAGCATCGTCGCAGTGCTCAGTGACAGTTTTTTTAATGCTCTGTTTGCAAAGCTGCCTGTCAGGAGCTGAGGGCCTTTCTCTGCAACGGTCCTGGTTTCGAATCGCAGCTCCCACATCTCCTCTGAACTGGATTGGGCCACTTCCCCCACTGAGCATCCCAGTTTCTCAGTCCTGGAGGCATTATTGTGAGGGTCACACCCCCAGGAAGGGCCTAGCGCGCCGTCGTGGGTGCTCATGGAACGAGGGCTGTTGTGTGTGTGTGTATGGCTCGCTCTGTAGAGCGAAAATGTACTTTGGAAACAAAAAAGAGGAGGGAAGTGAAAGTGTTGCCTGTGGCCGTGGTAGTTGTTCTGAGATAATTATCATAATGGACTCAGAAGGGCTTCTTTTCAACAGTGGTGATTGTTCAAAAATGACTAGGATGTTTTGCGCTCATTCACAAGTCTTCTCTAATTACAAGGAACCAGTGCTCTTGGCTTCGGTCCATTCGTATCCTCGAGGGAGGCTTCGCGCAGGAAAGCGCTGCCTGTGCGGCCGGGCACCCAGGCTGGCCGTGCGGTGCACGGGGTTGGGCAGATGAAGTGGGGGGGTGTGCAGGAGGGGGACACGTCTGCATCAGCCGTGCCAGATCCCACCTCCACCTGTAGTGAGCCCTCTGAGAGGGGTTTCTGTACCACCAAGAGGTCACTGGCGCATTTCTGAAGGATCTCTGGTGTCGTGACAAAACAGAGTGCAGGGTGGGCATCCCAGGTGACCACCCGCAGGTCTCCTGGGCAGAAGAGCCTTCTCCGTGTTGAGCCATGTTGCAGTTCATTTTTGCTCAGCACATCCATCCATGCACGCAGGGAACACTTTCCTCCGTCCCCGAGGTGCCTATCAGAGGCAAGCTGGCCGAGGCCCCTCCTCCGGGAGGGAGCTCCCCTCCGCTTCCCCTGAGAGTTCAGCCTGGAGCAGAATCAGCAAGGCCAGCAGCCCAGAGTTGTGAAGATAGAACCCATGAAAGCTGCCGGCCAAGCGCTCGGCTCAGAGGGGCAGTGACATCACCCCAGCTCCTCACCCCCCGGGTTGTTGTTCACACCTCATGAGTGAGGGGACTGCGCCGGGCTTTACAGCAATGAATCGGACTCCTGAGCGTAGGCCAGGCAGGTGGACAACCTGGGGCTGGAGATACTAGGGGACCTTCTCCTGTAACTCCAGTGGGAGGGTGGGGGGCAGTCTAGACCTGCATTCGGAATAAGGGCCGGGCTGTGGTTGTGTCCGTGGCCAGGGGACAGCAGAGGTGGGCCTGGTGCACACAGCCGGACCCCCACTTCCAGCCCCCAGCCCTGTGGCCGTGAACCAACTGACCTGGCCTACTCCTGAGCCTGAGCTCTTCTCTGATGCTCCTCCAAGCTGTCATGATGCAAAACAGAAGTACTGCACTGTGTATTCCTGGATGGTCAGACAAGTTACTCTCACCGGCAATCCGGACGTGATGGGCACCGGGCCACTTTGTGGGTCTGTGAAGCGGCCTCTCAGAATCCTTGACCTCGTGCTGTTTTCAGAGTTTATCCTTCCTGGGGACCTCCAAGTCCTTGTTCCCCTCCTTTCTCCCCCAGAAAACAGACAAGCAAACAAAAAGGAAATTAACCCGAACAGCAGGAGCCTTCATAACCTGAGCATAGCTGTGAAGTGGCGAACCTGGCTTGTTGCGAGGTGGAACTGGCTTTCAAGTGTAGGTGTATGTCGTGCCGATGCGAAGAGCTCTCTCCCTACGGCAGATTGGCAAAGCCCCGCTCCCAGAGTGTCCCCGCCGTCACCCTGATTCTGGTCCCGCCCTGTTTCTCCCCCCGAGCCCTCTGTGTCTTCCGTGAATTTCCCACCTCGGTGGCGGCCAAACAGCCCCCGGCGTGTGGTGGCCGAGTCTCTGAGCCTGTCCTGCGTCTTCCAGGTTCACCATGGAGCCCTTCTGTCCGCTCCTGCTGGCCGGTGTTAGCTTGCCCCTTGCCAAGGCTCTCACGGAAAACAAGACCACCACAGCACAGAGCAACTGGACCTCCACCAGCCCAGGTAAGGACCCGCCGTCTCTTCCTCTTAACGAGCCTGCAGGACCTTGCAGGGTGATGGGCGGGCAAGGCAGGAGGAGGAGGGTGTGCTTGGCATCCTCGGTGTGCTGCTGATGTGGCATGTCTGTGAAGCAGGCTGGCTAGGGAGAAAGTTGTTCAGTACTTGACTGGAGCAGAGCTTAGCACCCAGGAAGCAGCAGGCACGACCCCCGACCTGGGCTGAGAGCTGCTGTCAGCTTCGGTGGGGGCAGGAGAGCAGAGGGTTAGCAGCCCTGACCCGGCTGTGTGGAACCCCGTTCAAACCAACCCTGAATGAACACTGATGAGTCAGTAGGGATATTTAAATGCTGACACGCCATACATTAAGTCATAAGTGGATGACATTCATTAAGAAATAAGTATTTTTAGGTGAGATATTGATATAGAGGTTAGGTTTATTGTAAAGCCAGTAAGACATAGAGACACATACTTGCCTTTTAGAGACACATACTTAAGTACTTATGAATGAAGAGATGTGATGTCAGGAGTGACTTTGAGAAAGTGAGTGGTGGAGCTGGAAGTGGGTGGGGCCAGAAATGGGCGGGGCCAGAGGTGGGCAGGGCTGCCATTGCACGCTGCTGACCCTGTCCCATAGGAAAGTTGTGTCGCAGGTACATCGGGGTTCATTACTCTGATCTCTCACCTTTTTGTACCCTTTGAAAGTTAGGAGAAAAAGAGTCCACTGATACATGTGGCAACATGGATGGACCTCAGAAACATGTTGAGTGACCAGACATGGGAGAACACAGGTTGTTTGGTTCCATGTGTGTGAAATGCCCGGAACAGGCAAATCGTTGTGGGGAGAAGTGTGTTAGTGGCTGACGGGAGCTGGGGTGGGATTAGGAGTGACCACAGAAAGGCAGGAGGGATCTTACTGGGCTGGTGGAAGAGTTCTAACACCGGATCGTCGTGATGGCTGCATACCTCTGTGAATTGATTAAAACTCGTTGAATTGTACTCTTAGATGGTGCATTTTATAGTCTGTAAATTTTACCTCCGTAAAATTAAATTCCATGCAAAGTTAAAAGGAAGAGGAGGCGAGGCAGATGAAGAAGAAAAACGAAAGCAAATGCTCTTGAATCACCCACCTGCGTTAAGTCTAGCTCTGCCGCTTCCTGGCTGAATGACCTGGAGTAAGTCACTGAACCTCTCTGTGCCTCAGTGTCCCCATTTGCAGACAGAGGGGATAATAGCTCCCACTTCTTGGCAGTGCTGTGAGGATTAAGAAGGATAATTGTGCTGCGGTGCAGAGGGCTCGTCAGCTTGTTGCTAGTGAGAGAGTGTGTCATGGTGGCCTGTCACCCAGCCAGACCCCTACTGCCCTGACAGTTGGCTCTCAGTATCTTTTGATGTCTCCGTAGACATGGCCTGATGCAGAAGGAGGCTCAGCTGGGTGAGTTCTGGGTCCCAAAGGGGTCGATATGGATTCCCTGGGCCACCCCATGCCTCCCTGGTGGACTTGTGGGCCTGCCTGGGTCTGCCGGCTCCTTCAAAAGCCTGTAACCAGCAGAGGCTGGTCCCCCGACCCTGGACCCAGGCCTGTTGTGAGTCCCCACACAGCTGCCCCCCTCTCCTCTCCTTCCCCGGCGACTCCCAGACATAAAACTCAAAGACTTCTCTGATGGGGTGTCACTTGGTGATAAGATATATGTCCAGAGCTAGATCTAGATTTATTATAAGGAACTGGTTCACAGGATGGTGGTGGCTGGCAAGTCCAAAATCTGCAGAGCCAGTTCCCCAGTTTCAGTCTGAAGTCTGGCAGGCTGCTGTAGAGCTGCAGAGATGCCTACGTGGAAGGCAGTCAGGTGGGAAGAATTCCCCCTTACTCACCAGAGGCTCTTGCTTTTTGTTCTGTTCAGATCTTCAACTGAATAGATTTGATGCGGCCCACCCGCAATGGGGAGGGCAGTTGGCTTTTCTCAGAGCACCAGCTCAAACATTGAGTCTCACCCAAACAGCATCCCCATAGAAACACCCATATCATTTGGCTATGTTGACCAAATATTTGGGCACTTCATGGCCAGTCGACACATGAAATTAAGCATCACAACCTGGTCATCACAAGCTCTCTGGACAACATAGATCGTCAACTTCCCTCCAGGGGAAGGTAGGCCATGGTATTAGAGTTGGTATCATGCAGCCTGGGGTCAGGAGTTCAGTCCCCGTCCAGCCCGAAGGCTTCACATGATTTACTAACCCCGGAGCCTCCCCGCTGATGTAATCCCCTAGCCAGGAGGGCAGTTCTAGGTGCCTGGCCGTCTTGTGCAATGAGCAACACCCTCTTACATGGAAACTCCAGAGAAATTCAAAACCACAAAAATGAAAGACCAGAAACCCCAGCCGATAGAAACTGCATTCGTCACACTGCCTGGTTTCAAGCCAGGTCACTGGGACCCTTCAGCGCTTCCCTGTGCCAGGCAGAGAGGAGCTGGCCTCTGCTGGCCTCTGCTGGCCTCTGCTGACCCAGTGCCCAGCAACTGCAGGAAGATTCAACAAAGAATTCAACCGTGCAGAGCATCCTTTGCCTCAAAGTAGGGAAGAATCACTAGAGCTGTGTGGACGCACCTGCAGATGGCACCCTGGGCTTCACTTAAAAATAAAACGATTGGCTGATAATATGGCCGTGGGTATCTGTAGTGTGATCCGGTGGCCGCCCACCAGAATGAACGTGAAACTCATCCCATTGCAGCCTCTGCAGGCTTGGCTGCTGGCCACTTCCAAGAGCGGGGTATCCAGGCCGGCTCGACCTCAGAGCCTTCGTTACAAGGAGTAGACAGACTCCTGTGGCCTGGAATTCCAGAGAGAACCTGGCTGTGTGAAGTGCCCTTTGAAACTTCACCTGTTCCCCAAAAGAGGGATGACGCATCCTTAGGGATGATAACGGCGTGTCGCCAGGGCCTTCCAAAGTAACCGGAAATCATTTCCTTTGCTCACCGAACCAAATGTAGTAAATAATCATCAAGAGATGTTCTTTTACACAAGGAACTGAAGGTAAGTATTTACAAATTGTATAACAAAATATTCTGGTCCATATTGTATGAAGGATTCCTAAAAATTAACAGAAAAAGAAAAACACAGTAGGAAAATGATAAAAAAAAAGTGACCAGGGAAAATATGCATATCTAATTAATCAGGTTTGTGAATCATGAAAAGATTCGTAACCTTCTAGAAACTAGGGAAATGCAAATTGAAATGGTATCATTTTTACTTATCAGATTGACAAAAATTAAAAGAATCGCTAATATCCAGGAGAAATAGGCTCCCTCATGCACCCAAGGTGAGCGTAGAAGTTGGAAACTTTGGAGGCGGTGATTTGCAGTTGCTATTACAATTTAACGTGTGTGGACAGTGATGCCAAACGTCCAGTTCCAGGCGCTACCCTGCGCAGCACTTGCGAGATACGCGAAGATGCCATCATGAGATGCAGAATTGCAGATAATAGCAAAAATGTTGGAAACAACCTGAATGTCCTTCCAAATCTTGATTTATCCAAAAAGTGGAAATTCAAGCAGCAGTTAAACAAAACAAAGAGGCTCACATGCACTGAGGCCGAAACTCTCCAAGACAGACGACCCCACGAGAAAGACAAGTCGCAGGGCTGCCAGACAGTGCATGGCATCTGGTTTGGGTTTTGTTTCTCACATTTCACATCGCTGTATCGTGAGATGCCTTGATCTCATTGCTTTTTTCTTTCTTAGTGGTTCATAAAGTAAGAGCACACCTTTCGGTCCGTGGAATCTCAGATGTGATGAGAGAGTAGCAGGACTCTAGTTACTTATCAGACCTGTGGGCTTATGAACGTAAATGTGTAGAAAAAATCATCAGGGCAGATACACTCCACAAGTTTAACAGCATGTGACTCTGGGAACGAGGAGGGATGGCTCGAGTCCCTGTCTATTTTGTGTCTGGTTTGAACATTTTGCAACAGGCCTGGGGCCCTA